AAGGATTTAGGGGGTTAAAATAGGGGGGAAATCTTAGCAAGAACAAAACCATTTAATGAAGAAATATCGCTGCGAGATTAGGCCTTAGATGCTTGAGTTTTACAGGGTCAATAAAATACTAGATTTCGACAATATAATTTGAAACAGTTTACTGTGTACTGCAACCTGGGATGGCATAGAGTACACTTTGTACAATTGTTTGCAGTACAAAATTGAGATTAAACATTAAAAACTTGAATAAAATAAAATTTAGAAAATTGGATTCTTCCAAGGCTCGCGGCATGAGGTTGCAAAGACGTAAGGATTAGAAAATTAGAGTAAATGTCAGTCAAATCAAATATTAAATAAAAACGCACAAAAATGTTGTCTTATATTTCTATGTCTAAATCATTTTACCATTTTTTTATTTATTATTTAAATTTCAATTACCGTTTTCTGATTGGGAGGCATTCTCTTGGCAGATCTGCAGGAGAGCGTGGGATTGGCTGAGGGAGAGTGTCGGAGGGGGACAAAGTCCTAGCGTTGAGATCTAACGGAGGTGGGATAGGTTTAATTCGTTTAGGGCGGGATACTTCGCCCCCGCTTCCTTGGGAACCTAAATAGAACAGTTTGTAAAAATTTGATCAACCAGTTGTTTTTAGATTTGATTAATAAATTTTTTATAATCAATTTCTTGATTTTGATTTACCAATCATTAAATATCAAATAGTTTGGTTTGATTTTTGTAAAAATTTTATCAGGCATTTTATTTAAATTTTTTTATTTTATTTTTAGACTAGACATTTACAAAATATCTTCACGGGAACTATGAGCTTTATTTTAAAATTTGAAAACATGAATATCTTGATTTCTGAAAACTTATAGTAAATAGGGATGGATCGTTTTTTTACTTTTTTGAAAAACGATAGTTTCGTTTTAAAAACGACGAAGAAAAAAAGAAAAACAAAATGGTCGTTTTCAGAAAGTTTTTTTGTTTTTTTTAAGTCAATTTTTTAACTTTAGTTCGTCGTTTCGTGAACGAAGGTAGGTCGTTTTTAATTTCTGACGATCGTTCACGTTTTTTTATTTATCGATCGGTTTTTAAAAGGATTAACAATCCTAAATGTAGATACTAACAATTCTCATCTGTGCACGGGTAAACTCGAAAATGTTGGAAGAAAAAAGGAAACATTTTCAACACAATAACTTGGTTCGAAATCAATTCAACATTTTAAATCTAAATCAAATTATTCTTTTGTAAGGTTAAAGATTGGAACTGAACATACAAGCATACAAGCATACAAGCATACAAGCATAAAAGCATACAAGCATACAAGCATACAAGCATGCAAGCATACAAGCATACAAGAATACAAGCATACAAGCATACAAGCATACAAGCATACAAGCATACAAGTATACAAGCATACAAGCATACAAGCATACTAGCTTTTTCTCAAAGTTAAAACTTTATGTTAACTATAGGTTATACTTTTTCCTTACAAGTCCTTTTCTGCGAGAAATTTAAAAAAAAAAATTCCTGAAATTTTTAAATAAAATTTCAAAACCAATAGACCTCAATATTTAACTCCAATGAAAATTGTTTGTCCAAATTTTAAAATGTTTACGAAAGGTAAGCGTAATATGAACAGTATGTTCCTTTTAACACACAGTTCAAGAAAAGACTGTGGCACTCGGAAAAAAATATTAAGATAAATTGAAACAGTTGTCTATTAACAGATGATGTTTTATCATCCAATTAAAAAATGTTAAAAATAAAAATAAATCCATCCAGTCGCAATTATTAAATCACCATTAAAAGCAAAAAAAGATTTTTTAATTAATTAATTAATGTGAAAATGTTCTACTATGTTGTGAAGATGTTCTAACATGTTGTGAAGATGTTCTAACATGTTGTGTAGATGTTCTAACATGTTGTGAAGATGTTCTAACATATTATGAAGATGTTCTAACTTGTTATGAAGATGTTCTAACATGTTATGAAGATGTTCTAACTTGTTATGAAGATGTTCTAACATGTTATGAAGATGTTCTAACTTGTTATGAAGATGTTCTAACATATTATGAAGATGGTCTACCTTGTTATGAAGATGTTCTAACATGTTGTGAAGATGTTCTAACATGTTGTGAAGATGTTCTATAACTTGTTGTGAAGATGTTCTAACATGTTGTGAAGATGTTCTATAACTTGTTGTGAAGATGTTCTAACATGTTGTGAAGATGTTCTATATGAAGATGTTCTAACATGTTGTGAAGATGTTCTAACATGTTGTGAAGATGTTCTAACATGTTGTGAAGATTTTCTATAACTTGTTGTGAAGATGTTCTAACATGCTGTGAAGATGTTCCAACATGTTGTGAAGATGTTCTATAACTTGTTGTGAAGATGTTCTAACATGCTATGAAGATGTTCTAACTTGTTATGAAGATGTTCTAACATGTTATGAAGATGGTCTAACTTGTTATGAAGATGTTCTAACATGTTGTGAAGATGTTCTAATATGTTGTGAAGATGTTCTAACATGTTGTGAAGATGTTCTATAACTTGTTGTGAAGATGTTCTAACATGTTGTGAAGATGTTCTAACATGTTGTGAAGATGTTCTAATATGTTGTGAAGATGTTCTAACATGTTGTGAAGATGTTCTATAACTTGTTGTGAAGATGTTCTAACATGTTGTGAAGATGTTCTATAACTTGTTGTGAAGATGTTCTAACATGTTGTGAAGATGTTCTATAACTTGTTGTGAAGATGTTCTAACATGTTGTGAAGATGTTCTATAACGTGTTGTGAAGATGTTCTAACATGTTGTGAAGATATTCTAACATGTTGTGAAGATGTTCTATAACTTGTTGTTAAGATGTTCTAACATGTTATGAAGATGTTCTAACTTGTTATGAAGATGTTCTAACATGTTGTGAAGATGTTCTAACATGTTGTGAAGATGTTCTAACATGTTGTGAAGATGTTCTAACATATTGTGAAGATGTTGTGAGAAATATTTAAAAATACCTGGACTACTTGAGCTCCTACTGTCCTCTGTGGGTTGGGATGATGGATGAGAGGATGGGTGGGATGAGGAGGGTGGTGAGCTGGGATGAGATGAGGAGGGATGAGAAATAAAAGATGATTTTTTCTTGACTGATAAATCTTCAGGAGTATCTTGGACAGGTCCTAATAAATATACAATATAAATATATCAAATAAATGCCGACACCGAGAAAAAGACTACCATTACTCAGTTCAACTACCTTACATAGCCGGTCACTCCCTTTAAAAATTGAGGGATGATTGATAGATGGCTGGATGAGTGAAGGATAAATGTAAAATAAATGAACTGTCAATAGATGAATGGATTGGATGAAAGATGAATAATGATGGAAGGATGAATAACAGATGAATGGCATTGATGATAAATTGAAGTATGACAAATGGATGGTACATAAATAATGATGAATATAAGATAGATTGATGAATTTAAAATTAAATAAATAGATGATGAATAAATGGATAATTGCTGAATAAATGATAATGATAAATGAATGTAAGAAACAACAGTTGCAAGTTTACAGATTAATGTTTAATAGCTCAATGAATGATAGATGGATAAAAAATGGATGAATAAATGAATATTATGATTGATAAATGAATGGAAGTTCAATGACTATAAATTGAATAAATGGATAAGAAATAAATGGAAATAAAAAATCGATTGAAATTAGTTGAATGAATCAAAGTGATGAATTGCTTAGAAATCAAAAAAAAAAAAATTCGAAAAATAAAAAAATAATATGTAAGCAACGAAAAAATGCAATGCAAATTAACTTTACAGTAACCGTCTCAAATTATCAAGAAACAAAAATCCAATGAACCTAATCTACGGTGGGCAGGTGAAAGCTGTCCCTCCTCCCTTTCCTCCTCCTCCTCTCCCTCCTCCTCCATACTGAACTCAGTCTTGATGTTCTCGGTGGAAATCATGTTGCTGCTTGCCACCTGAAATGGAAAAAATCTTTCAAAATGTTAATTTCCTTGATTTCTAAAATCGTGCTCAGGAAGGTGCATTCTTTATATAAGAATCACCTTTAAATGTGAGAAAACAGATGTGTTTTTGCATGCACAAAATTGCACTACAAACAAAGAGTCTTCTGGAAAAAATAAGAAATTATTGCATGCGCTGCAAATTTAAATTACTGCACTGCTGGCCCCAACATGTAATTCTAATACACTTGTCTTTTCAAAGATCTGCATTTAATTGCCCTAGTTTACAGGCCAATAATTGCGTACATCTTCTATTTTGCGGGTTTTTGCGTCAACCAGCTCTGTTAAATAATTCCCAGGTTTTTGCCGCGGTGGCTTCACTTACTGGGCGTTTAATCAACTTTTTATGCTCCTGGGAAAATCCACGAGAACGCCGGAAATCCAAAATGCTGGATTTAATTCAAAATGGTGGATTCAATTCAAAATGGTGGATTCAATTCAAAATGGTGGATTCAATTTAAAATGGAAGAATCAATTCAAAATGAAGAAATTAATTCAAAATAAAGGAATCAACTCAAGATGTAGGATTCCCTTCAATCAGAGGATTTATTCAAAATGGAAGATCAATTAATAGATAATAATGGAGACAATTTTTCAAAATAAAGAATTCAATTTAAATTTAAGGATTTAACAATCATAAAAAATGTATTCAGATTTGGTTCGATCAAGCTGAACTTTCATAGAAAATTTTAAGAGGTTAAATGCAAATAAATTTTTTTAGAAACATATTTATTTTTGGGCTTAATATTTCATTCACTGTAGAATGAAGAAACATGAAACGGAGAAAAATGTGAAAATTATACTGGGAAGAGATGTTAATATCCTCGAGTGAGGTGGTGGGGGGTGTATAGGTCTAACTTCTTGATAGAAAAGGCTATACAGGCATTAATAATTAATTAAACATCAAACATAAATTAGAAAATTGTATTTTTTGTCATTATTCATCGGTTACATAGAGTAATAAAACGAAGAGGTAAAGCTAACCTCAGATGTACATAACCGACCTCCCCATTAATAGAGTGGTCGATATGTTTACGTATCTAACACTGTACACTTGTACATTGAGTGATCGTATTTCTTGAGGGGGATTTTATGAAATTGACAAATTTTTAAATTTTCTTTCTTTATTTAAAGAGATTCGAGGATGTTGACTGCAAACATTTGACAATTTTCAAATCTGTAGGTTTTCAATTTATTAGCAAACAGTTCTGTCAAAAATATTAAGTTTATATGGACATGCCTTTAGCTTAAAACTTGAATAACATTCTTATTTCAAACATTTTTATTCTTTCTTCTCTTCAACTCTTCTTAAGGGGGGGGGGTGCTTGCCCCCCATTGCCACCCCTAGTTGCGCGCCTGTTATTCTGTGAACAAACAAATTCAAACTTTTACTGAAGTACTGAAGAAAAAAACACAAACTGGATGGGTAGTTAACAAATGATAAACAAATAAACTGAAAAAACGATGCGCGCGCATCTTTAATTGCGACTTCTTTTTTTTAATTATGTTAAATATTAAAACATTATAAATTAAACAATACAGTAAATCATTTTTATTTTCACCTAAAGTTGGTTTTGCATTTTTCTGCAAACTTGGTTTTCCCCCTGACTAATATCTCCTTCTTTAAAATTGTTTGAGAAAATACAACTTGAAGGATATATGGTTGTGTCTCCCAACCTTAAAAGGTCTAGCCATGCACAATGTTTTGCTATTTTGAAAAAAACTCACATTTTTACAAGAAGAATTGTTTTTGCACTTTTTCACGATGCAAAATTTGGTCATACTTTTATTAACATAAACAAAAAATATTTTACCACCCCAAAGAAATACGATCACACTCTATACAAGTGTACAGTGTTAGATACGTAAACATATTGTGATGTACGAGGGGAGGAAGGCCAACCACATCAATCTCTTGTCCGAACCACATTCTCCTCATTTTCTCGTCCGAACCACTTCGAAATCCTCGTCCTTTCAATATCATTTTTTTAAAGTGTCCGATCCTTGAAAATAAATACATTTTTAAAAAATACGGCGACGTTAGGGCATAAACATGACTAGAATAAAGTTTTCCAAGGATTTTGAGATGTTGGAATCTTCAAATCCACGAGAATGATGTCAAACATTATTTAGGTAAAACTTAAATCTCTTCTGCCTCCTCTTCGTGATATAAAATAAATAGAAAAATATTCGGCATACCTCTGCCTATAATTTTCCCCATGCAACCACCCGGAAAAATTCTATGGTTTTCACTATAGTTAACAAAAAAGATTAAAGTTCTATAAACTTGGAATTATTTGCGGCATTCTACATCAGGAATATCTGAAAATGCGCGTAAAAAAGGTGTACATTTCTAAGGACATTAAACTTGAAATCTTTAATTCAATTGAAACTTTTTACTTTGATTTACAAAAATTTGATATTTCATTTATGCCCTAACGTGGCTTGATTCTTAAAAAATAGTGTTATATGGAAGGATTAGACACTTAAAAAAAATAATATTGAAAGGACGAGGATTTCGAGGTGGTTCGGACGAGAAAATGAGAAGAATGTGGTTCGGACTAGAGATTGATGTGGTTGGCCTTTCTCCCCTCGATGTACACAACCGACCACTCTATTAGTTAATTAATAGAGAGGTCGGTTGTGTACATTTGAGAGAAGCTTTACCTCTTCGTTTTATTACTCTATGATCTGTTAGTACAAATTATCTTATCTCTTTTATTCATTCAACCTTTTTTATTTAATCTAAAGCGAAACTTTTATCATAATTATCTAGACTGTTATCATTTTAATGTTAATTTGTCAATTTTATCAAGAAGGAAAACTGATTTGATGTTGTTTGTCATGCAAGAGAATCAGATCTTGAAAACGAACAAATTAAAAAAAATGTTTTAATAAGTTAAGAATTTTAAATCTGGTTTTTTATAAATAAATGTTTTGATTAAAGTATCAAATAATAATCTGTTTTCATTCATTTCAGTTCACCACACTTTCTAAACACATGTTTCGCTTCAGAAACGAGAGAAACATTATGAAATATTTACCAGGAGGTTAACTCTGTACGTGCTAAGACAGAATCAGTTAAACGTATTCTTAAAAGCTAATTCAATTTGTTTTTAATAATAATTGTTTGATCCATTTAGATAATATTAGTTATGCAGAAAATATAACCAACTGAACGCACGGATTAAAACATTTTTTTAATGAAAACATATGTTCAATTCACCAATGTATTTTGCTTTAACTTTTTCCCCCATTCATTTCATTTCACTGATGCAAGTAATTTGTATAATATTTAAAATCTAAATAATTTAATTGAATAAAACGTTTCTAAACTATAATTTTTCTTTTTGTAAGAATGTGTGTAGCTTTATGTATTTTCGTGTACAGTACAAGTAAGTGTACACTTTGTACAGGTGAATAACCCGGGAACCTCTGACCGGAAGCAGATATTTCTATCTATCTATCTCAAGTATATAGACCGGAAACACTTGGTTTTCAAGTCACTGACCAAAATATAAGTTTCCCACACGTAATCTCGGTGGAGGGGGTGGGGGTTGTGCCGAAGGGAGGGGGGGGGAGATTTTTGTATACGATTTGTTGCAACAAGACCCTAACTAGCTTTGAAGCAGTGAGTTGTTTTTATCTTATTTCACTTTTCTTAATAATTACACCTTGCAAAAATAAACGAAAATACAGAAGACGACATTATTTGAGTAAACGTTTGATGTTATCTGACCATCCGTGTCAAATCTCACCGCTTATCTCACCACACTTTAGCGCGTAGCCAATAAAATTTAAAAAAAAAACTCCTTGGTGTAATCCACAAACTCCAGCAGAGTGAAAAACCGCAAATAATCATCAAACCCGAGACTTACTGAGAACTTAACTCTTGGTTTTTCTCATAGAAACTGTACCTCGATTAGGCTGAAATGTTTTTGTTTTTTAATACTCAAAACTACAAGTAACTTGTTAAATAATCTACAAGAGAACTTGCGTTTATATATATATCTATTCATAATATGTTTAAAGAATTCATCTAATTCAGACAGAAATTTCAAGGGTACCGTTAGAAATCGGGCATTGCCATCTTAGCATGGAGGATCACTTAAACATACCCTTACAGTCACGTTAACAACTTTAAAAGAACTTACTGTATTGTATTAACAACTTCTATATGTAAGTTCAGACTGTATTCTTGTTTGTTTTAAGGGCGTCTAAATGACTTTAATGCAGGGGGCATATTTTTACTAAAATTTATACTTTTCAAAACTTTAGTGGGAAACTGTTAAAATAAAACATCAATCATTTTTAAAGCTTATTTTACCATCATTAATTCATTCTACAGTTTTTCAATAAATAAATGAATAAAAAATGTTGTCCAATAACTAAGAAAAATGTGATTTTTAAGTAGGGGATAGAGTTAGAGTTTGAAGAAAATATAAACCCTGGTTTAGTGTTTATCAAGGGCAAAGCGGATTTTCATTAATTAAGAATATTAGTAAAAAGGAAAGGAGTATTGAAGGGGGGGGGAGGTGGGAGGGGAGATGGTGGGATGGGGGGGGGAAAGTCGATAAATTCAAACAAGAAAAATTATTTATTTGGTTGATTAATGGTCAAATGGTGAGAGGGGAGAAAGTACACTATGATTTTCCTACGACATAGAATATTGATTTTCAAATTGCGTCTCAAGAAAACACAAAAATCATCCAACAAATAAAATAGCGCAAGACAGCAAAGCGAAACGAAAGAAAAATAATAAAAAAGATTAAATATCTTTATATGTTTGTGTGAATCATTACAATCATTATAAAATTTTTCTTTTTTTGTTGCTTCTTAGTATTGCTAAAATAACAAAGGAAAAAATAATGCCATGTGGCGCACATCACGCTATATTTTTAAAGTATGAAATGCCTATGAATGAAATAATTGCCTAGGTGTCGGTCTATCAATGG